ACACCATTGAGAATGAATGGGCATGTAAAAGTAATCTGTCTCTTTCTCAACATGAATATAAGTTATATACAGCTGCGGTCCAGCCTTCTTGCTACTTTTATTTTTGCATTTAAGAACTGTGAAATTAAAAATTTGTTGATACAAGAGAAAGTAACAGTAGATCGCTCTTCTACAGCGACTCTTGATAGTTTGAAGTTCGAAGTCGAAGTTGAAGTCGAAAGGGTTAAAACTGCGAAGTTCGTTTGTGGATGAAGGAGAGGCTTAAATATGTTATCATTCCCAAAACGAAGCATTTATTTCGAACGTTTCTTGGATTTTCTGAACATTGGATTAATCTTCCCAGGCTTTGTATTCGCACACAGATAAAATTAGTAAGAATGCCACTAATAAAGTCTTCATTAGTACATCTTTTTTTTAATTGGCATCGATTTGAGAATCATGGTTTTTTAATGTTCCTCTGGGAAAGTTTGAAATTGTCGCTGGAAATACACAGAAGACGGCCTTATGTTAATCAGGAAAAGAAAACGTACTTTGAATTTGTTTTATCTCATTGAAAACTTAAGAGAGTATCCATGAGCTGGTAAAGAAAGGCTGGCACACACAAAAATTTACCGATACTTTTTACTACATATTTTGAATCTACACTCACTTCTGGGGTTACGAAAAAAATCTGAGCGAGTTTGGACTCGATTTGATCGAATTATATTACAATTTTTTTAAAATGAACAGGTCGAAGAAACATAAAAAAATGACATTTTCCGTTCTTTGTCTATAAGTTCGTCAAGGTTCAATAGCTATTTTTATGCAACGGCTCATTCGATAAAGTAGGCAAAGTTCCATTATAAAACTAGTTTTTCAATATTTTTGACGTGTGAGTTAAAATGAGACTCAAAAAATCGACCAGTTGAAAAATCGATGTTTTGAAAAGCGGGTTTTCCCTTGCACAAAGCGTTTCTTCTCTTACTTTAATTCCCCGTAGCCACATTTCTTGCCATAAAGAATTCAAGTCTCCGCACACTCACCAAAAAAGGTTGCATCTATCATTCCTGTATAATTTTCAAATTTGAAAAACAAGATAGCTAGCTAACGCATTTTCCCACTTTTTCAAAATTTCCTCAAAAAAATCAAAAATCTCATTTGCAAAGGACCAAATTCTGAACTGATCGACGAGTTTTTTACCTTTCTGCAAGACAAAATATTTTAGCTGATTTTGGCAAACCATCAATATCCTGGCTTAGCTGTTTTGCTTTTTTTGATCAGTAAAAACTCATCTTTGTCAGAAGGAAATCACTTTTTCACAATTTCGTATAATACTGAGTAACTTGCAATGGAGTAGATTTCGATAAGTTCTATCAAAGGTCGAAGATATCAATCCGATTCTCACTCGAGTTTATTTCTGAGAAAAGACCAAGAGCCATTTTTACGCTTATCAAAGGCTGCACCATACTCAGTATTGGCCAGAAGCTATGGAAAAAACAGGTTTCTTTCGAATGAAAATCAGTTTATTTAGTTCAAAAAAGCGAAACAACTAAGGCAGGTCCTCGATGGTACAACTGTTCTTTTATAAAGATAAAAGTCATATCAATCAATTCATTTTAACTCTGATTCTAAATATGACTTTTTGAATTAGGTTTTGTTCAGATTTTGGCCGAGAAACGTGCGAAAATGTATAAACAGTGTAGCGCAGATGTCGCAGGATCTTGCTCTTTTAAATGATTTAAACAGCAGCAAGCAAGCAAACCAATGACCACTGATGGTTCTGAGCCATCCAACAATAAGGAAAATTGCGGTCAACATCTGATGTAGTGGCCGGCTTCAAAGGTTTCTCAATAAATCTACGCTTTTACTTACCCATCGCTTCAGCTCTAAGCTTCTGAGCAAGATCATTAAGCGTGTTAGCCTTCTGACCTTCCTGGACGTTATGTGTACATGACACGAACAAAACTGATTAATGGTGGTCTTTGGGATGATTATACCAACGGACAGAGAAATATTGTGAAGTTGGTAGATGAAATGATGATGTTGCCAATGAAAGAAAAAGATGATTGCAGCAAGTGGTTACAGAAATTGAAAGCTACATGGCATTCAACAGAGAAACTTCAAAAATTTGTTCGTTGGTATTATTTTCAGTGATTTATGGTTGTGGGTACAAGGCAGATGAGTGTATTTGGAAGTAGTGTGATTACCAACGAACGTTTTCGAAGTAAGTTTTGAGTTGCCTTTTTGAGAGAAGATGGAGATCTGAAAAATAATTATGTTTTTCTGCCGTTAGGATTTATTCTGGCCAACTTGTGGGACTTACCAGCTGCACAATGACAATCGTCAACACTGTTTAATCATCTTCACTCTCTTTCTCGTGTTACTGACAACATGTTCTATGATAGTGCTACCGTATCAGTTATTTGATATTATCTAATCGTCCGGCAATGTGTCTTCGCTGGGCGAAGTGGTTGGACATCGCCGGGCGAAGACACATTGCCTAGCGATGTTTTAAAATGCTCGTTTTCAAAATTATCTCGTAATAAGACATTTAAACCTTTTGATAGTCGCACGGTAACTAATACACAGTGGCGGGCCGAAGAGTGCCACTTGCGTTGGCTACTGTCACCCCTTGCCACCCCAAGTGACGCTCTTTGGCCCGTCACTGCTAATACACGTATGTCAGGCCAGTTATCATAGCACTATTATTCGGCCAGGATACATGTATTATCAGTCATGCATTAGATGAAGACCGCTTGGGGATTCCTCACACATATTCTACGAATTAAAAAGTTTTAAATTATTAGGAGTTCTTTTGAACACACTGCCCGGCAATTTTTCGAACTTTGTAGATTTCAAAATGATTTGGCGAAAAGACATCTAATACTTTAGCAGACACTAGAGAACAGATGCACGTGTCGTAGACCAGTGATTGTCTTGATTTTATTAGTCACATCACATATCTTAGCTAAAGTACGTGGATATGACCCAACAACCAACTTCTAGCAGCTGCCGTACAAAATAAAAAGTATTAAACTATGGGGAATATTTCTTGTACACCTCGCCGGGCAATGATACATCGCCCAGCGAAGCAGCATTTTACCCAATTATTGCTTTGAATAGTGAAATACTTGCACAAAAACAAAAATAGAAGCGTGTGAGGGAAGGTTTGAAATATGGAATTCATATGGAATTCAGGACGTATAGGTGATGTTTTAGGTTTTCTTGTGGACAGTGAACGTGATAAAGACTGTTTTCGACTTGATATTTTGACAAAAACTCAGTATATTTCAGGAGAACAGTTGATTCGAGAACTTAGTGAGCTTTCGAAAAGAGATAAGTTTTTATAGCATATCTACTGCTGCGGTTTCTACATTTTTTAAACCAAAGTTTTGCCTGTTTACACCTCGTCACATATTTCTTTTGAAGATTTTGATTGTCGCCAACAACTCTGGCTGTCGCTTTAAAATTTACATTTCATTGTCATGCAGGGCCGCGAATATTGGAGGGATACACGTAACTCCCCAAAGTGATTAAAAAGTCAGTTTTTCTACGGTGCTTCTTTAAAAGATAGAAGAGGACAAACTAATATCCCTTGATGTGTATGCGTCTTTCCAGAAAAGTTTCGTGTTTTGTGACACATGCGACGCTTCTTTTCTGTGTGTTAGGATTAGCTGAATCAAATATAAGCTCTATCCATAGAGCTGTTGAGGCAGTCTATGGTCATCATGCATTAATGATCTTTCTAAAGTAAATCATTATTAAACACATTTCCACAATACACTTGTTATTCGGTTTCCAAAGAAATCTAGACCAATCCTGAGTTTAACTCTCAGTGAATATGTGGTTTTTCTCCAACTCAAATTCATACTATCGGGTGTGCCAAAATATTTATTAGAATCAATGGTATTTGCCACTATACTTTTTGTCGTGGTAGTTGCATTCCAGGAGTTTCTATGTAAAGCGTACTATAGTGTACACAATTATTTCATCAAACTTAAAACTTATCATATATTACATCAGAAATTGCGATCTTATTCTTTGACTTTTTTCAACAGGAAAATTTATATTCTAAGTCACCTTGAAATCAAGCGTCTGCGAACAGCAGCAACTCATAAGAATAATATTCAATCTAATTTAAAATCATCGTGACATTTTACTGACTCAATAGTATATATATAGCTCTGACATTTTGATCTGAATACAATCTCAGCGCGCACACATTGACTAGAGATTTATTTCATAAGAAACGGATGTGAAATGAAAAAGGATTTTTGTTGTAAAGCTAAATTCATTTGCCGTATAGTTACTAAATAAAAACTACTTCCAAAAGAACGTTCTGGTCCGTCTGCAATCCAAGCAAATGTTTGTGTTGCGCAGCGAAGAACTTTCGCAAAAACGGCCATATTGTATTATTGTATATAGTAACTTGCTTGTAATTATACGTTATTTATTAATTTCATTGTCAATACTATCGCTGATATATACCTTAGTGTACAACATAATGAAAAAAATCTGCGAAAAAGGTTCGAACCATAAACGCTTTAAGGAAATCTCTAAAAAACAGTTCGCAATGATAAAAAAATTTTCCATGAATTTGTTTTTCTTTTATTCTCTATGAGGTTCAAGCAATTTTGTTAGAATTTCCCGTAATGTTCCTGTTATCTAACAGGCTGTTAGATCCGGATAGATAATGTTTATATCTGTTTGGAAACGATCGATTAACTTTTTTCAATGTAAGTAGCAAAAGGTATGTGAACTTTAGACCATTTTCTACCAGCCGTAATGTTTTGCGTATTTTTATTCAAGTATTAAAAAAGGTACAAGATTAAAATTATTTATATCAAATTTATCTGTGTCACTACTGACTATCATGAGACATGAATTTAAACCGTAATCATTGAGCAATGTTCATACTTTATCATGTTACAAGTACCTCCGAAATGCTCTTTTTATGAAATCAAAAATTTTCCTAAATCATCATTAATCGATATTGACTCTGCAGTATATAGTGTTTGTGTCTATTTTCCTGTAGTTTTCATTTTTGTGCGTGTTGATGAAGTTTCCAATGATTTATATAAATTTAAACCTGTAAAAGCTGTTGTGGATGTAAAGAGATGTTGAAATGATGGAGTAGACGAAAATACTGGTGTTGATTGTGGCGCTGTTGTCCATACCGTATTAGCAAACTGTTTAGTCGATTTTTCTCTCTTTTTTAATGATTTACCGTCGTTTGCTAAACAAATTGAACAGAAACATGGTAAATTTATTAATGCTTTTGAACAAGATGTTGGTAGGGATGGTGGTGCTTGCTGTTGTTGATAGACGCTGTTTAAATGTTGCCTCATATCCTCTAATGATTTTGTTAGCATAACAATATAATTTCTCGCTAATAATAATGTGCCCATTTTCGATAATTTTCGTACAGATGGATTTCTTGCATAGGGTATAACTTCCCTTAGACTATCCAATGCAGTATTCAAATCATGCATACGTTTTCGTTCACGACTATTAATTTTCAAACGTAGATCTTGCGAATCGTCTTGATTTAAAGCACTATTTTTCGTTGTTGTAGATGAAGGATATTTTCGGCGTTTTTGATGATTTAATGATGTTGTGGCTGTTGAAGATGAGACAGAAGAAGGTGATGATGAATGATCAATAGAACTAAATTGTATATTTGGTGGAATTAAATTAAAAAATGTTTTAGATTGAATATCAGGCAAAAACTGATAATCGGTAGACAGTAGGTTAAGACGATTTTCTTTATTATGTCGATCATATCTATTATCTGATGATTTTTTGTTATTCAAATGATTGTCACCTGGATGTTCTTCATCACTAACTGTATCCTCATTGCTATCATCGCAAATATTTAGTTCATCTTCATTGTCAGTTCGCGCAGTCATAGCCAAACATAGAAAAATACCGTGAAATATCTAAAATTGATACAACAATTAAAATCTTATGAAGCAGCTATTTTTCGTATTTGAATTTGTACTGAATTATAAAAAAAATGTGTCGTTTTCAGATTGTGCCATATCAGAGAGCACATTTGATGTGTGCTTCACTCACTTTTCATTTACCTCTTTGTTTTCCAATAGTAATAAAAAATCAATTCTTTTTTCTTATTTCCCAAACTCTCGACGAGCCTAAGGTGGAGCGAAGAAACGATGACATGACAAGAGCAAGGATGATATTGAAAAGTTGGAGATTAGAAATTGGAGATGGGACACATTAGACAAAGATCGATGGAGGGAAATGATCGACAAAAACGTTAAAAATCAACCGGTTCATCGAGATGTCCATAAAATCGTAAAGGAATATAAGGAAAAGGCGGTGAGAAGACGGACTGAGGAACGTGCATCCTTATCAAGTAAAACAACAAATGATCCATCAATTGCTACTACTACAACTACAGCTAGTAATGTGTGTACGATTGCGGCTAAAAATGTAAAAATGAAAGGGGTGTGACTATCCACTGACGTACTTGAGATAAAAGTAGTGTATCATCATCATCAACTACAGTAACTAGTGAAACAGTAAAAACAACTAAAAATGTCTCCCCACAATCAAAAATAACTGAGCTGTTAACAAAAAATAGTGATGGTGAATACACTTGTCCGAATAGCAGATGCGGAAAATCGTTTAAACCGCAAGGAATCGCAGGCCATGTGAAGTCATGCGCAAAGAAATGGTGTAAGGATTATGGTATAAGTTAGCCTGCGAGATAATTTATATAAGAAGCGATAACACCTGGTAAATAACACGGCTTAATTGACTTACAACAACAACAAATCTAACTTCTGCTCAATGAAAAAGTTGAACGTGACATGCGAATAATAAAATGACACTTGCTTTCTAAATCAGATTCGCTTGTGGTCTGAAGGTGGCAAGTCGATATTATATTACCGCATTCCACGTTCTACGACGATTTTACACAAGTAGACCAGATTCGAACACTTTTTTGCATTCTCTAAATGCGCTCAAAAACTCTTCACTCTACGAGTGATCTTGGACCTAGATAATATCCCCATTTTTTTTTATTATCTATTTTTCTTGTATCTTCACCTTACACCGATATTCGGTAAAGGGTATTCTACCTATCTATCTTTCCAATTGTACATCTTTATTATTTTACTTACTCGATGTGTACAGTACTTAGAATATCTTATCACTCTGCATATCATTTTTGAGTTAGTTCGAAACTCAAAAATGCCATGCAATGCTCCTATGCTCCTTCTTTTACAGTGCGGTATTTGCTCCATACAAATTTTGCTACTACTCATAGATTTTCTTACAGCAAATTTTCATTTGCTTACCGTTTTGTGTCGTTTTGTAGTAAAGAAAGTTCTTTTACAAAAAACAAATATCGCTACTTCAATCTGACCAGGTTGATTGTGTCAATGTTCAACCTGTCACAATATTTTTTCAATATTCAATCTCTCAACTTTCACTTTTCATTTATATTTGTACCAATCATGCTTCATACCGATGTCAATAGAATAATTGAACCAATCACATTATTTTCTTCTTTTCTTTTAGGAGAAATGAACAACAATATATGAACAATTGAATGAACAAATTCTCGAACAGCTTTTTTACTTTACCAGCATGGTGTTCGAACAATTAGTTGAGAGGGTTAAAAAGATGAGTAACGTGAGACATAATTGACAATAGAATATCCTGTTACTGTAACACATGGATATAGAAAATAATACAAGTTTCATATTTCAATATTTACAGACAGCGACAGGCGTAAATACGGTTCAACTACGTCCGTTAGATTCAAGAAATAAGATGAAAATACCTATGATCAACGGATATTCGAACACTCTCGATGAGAGAGTGATTTTTTTGTTTTACAAAAACTAAATTGAGCTCACTCTCGTACCTTTGCGTTTTTTCGCATGCAAGGTAAAAACGGATAAACGAACTAATTATAAAAATGCATTCGACTCTATCTTTAATTAGTTCAAGTGCCAAAATTGACTGTTGGCTTGTCCGTATGCAAGTTAAGGGTTGATCTTTTAGTTCCACATAAAACCAGTAACCAGCTTGTTTTTTCTCACTCTTGTTAAAGACAGCGCTTCGGGCTATCGAAACTGATCACGGAATGAAATCACTGGAAAATTTTCTTCTTCTTGTGTTCACTATGAAAAGTTTTGTATGACATATAGTGTGGAAATTGTAATGTGTAGCAGAAGCTCTAAAATTCGAATATCCGCTCGATTCGTCGTGAAAAAAAACCCAGTTTTTCTTAATTGTTTCCTTCTCGATTTCTTAAACATATAGGAGTCTTTTCACATTATGAACTGATTGACAAAATAATTATTTTATCTTATTTAAATTTGGAATAAGAAATAGGTCGATTATTCTTCTAAAATACGGTGCCTGCAGTTATTGCTAGCTTAGTTTCTTCTTTCTTCTTTCTTCATCTAGATTTTCTTTATATGCAGGATTCTCTGCTTTCAACGTGAGGTTCATTTAACTTTGAAAACCATCATTGTATTATTAAAGTAGTTTTGAATCCAGATGTGGAGAGGACAAGTTAATCAAATACTCATCTATACCATGTGGTACATCATAATTTTAATTACAATTGTAATTTTTAACGGTTACAGCTCAGTAGGAAATCAATGATCGTTGATCGTTTTTTTCCTTGTTAGTTACAAGTTCTATATAACCACTTTTTCTTTTATTTTTCTCCTCAGTTGACACATGTCATCGAACAATTCGAATAAAAAATAGTTGAATGTAATCTGATTATACATTTCTAAATATTAGCGAATGAGAATAAAATGATTTATTTTGTGATAGTGATGGTACAAATATGTTTGATAAACGATTAATATCGAATGAACAGAGTGACAATGGAATGTGATATAGCAGGTGAAAAAATAGTTCACATTAGAACTTATTATTAATTTATAATTGACTCAAGTATCAACAATCTCTATTTGCATAATATCAAAAGAATTCTAAAACAGACAAATAGCAACGACTTGTTTTTGATAGTAGACCGTTTAACTCTCTTTAAATAACATGTACGTAAAATCTACTCTACAAAATAGTATATTCAGAAACTTATTCAATACTCATATTATTTTTAGATCAAAAAAATATAATCATTTTATTGACCAGTTAACTACGGTTAACTGTTCAGTTAATAACTGGTCCTTTATTTTAATAAAAAAGCTTGTCAGCGTTGTTCCTGTGGAACAAAAAGTGTGAAAACTTTCATGACCTTTACTAGTTGCAGCAAGCCTTCTAGCAAAAACACCGGCACGGCTATATTTCTACAGGCTTACCTACTAACATTCTTGCCTATTCTTAACAAGAAATTAAGACTATGTAAACCCTACATTTCAATTATGTAAACTCTAACATTTTCCAAGGTCCATTTTCCCCTAGGATTCTCTCTATAAAAATAAACTTCAAACTTCCATCTCCGTTGGAGAACGGACGTGTCCTTAGAAGTTTTCACAAAATGATCATATTTTTTTGATCTAAAAATAACATAAAGTTTTTATAACTAATATTGTCGAAAATATAAATGCTGTTTAAAGCACACTTCACTTCGTTTTTTCTCACTCTTAACTGGTACAGGTCTAGCAGTAAATATCATGTAGAAAAGTAAAAATTTAATTTTTTTCCAGTCTTATACACTCTGATTCTTATTCGAATCATACATACATATGCATACATGATTTTCTATAACTATTATCGAAGAAATGATCCGTATTTGTGATAATTCTGTTTCCTTATTATTATGTACACATTTTCTAATTAGTTTTAATCTACTGGGAATGAGTATTTTTGTCACATTATGTGTGTACTGCGTTTTAATTATATTACTTCATTCATCATTAACACATCCGGTGTTTTGATTACAAAAAGTACATATGGCTACTATCTGAAGAAAATAAATTCTTTTGTTTTTTACTTCTTTTTCCAACGATTTTTGTCTTTTGGTGATTTTTAAATGGTAGTTCTCTTCTTTAGTACAAGTACTAAAACGATTAATACAGTATGTAAATTTAGTTGTCTGGCTATAATTTTCCAAACTCTCACTTAAAGACAGACAAGATTACACGAGAAGATCTTAAATCAGAAGTGTTCATCTCAATTTGAGATCAAACTAACATTTAAATCATTTTTTTAACCTGTAGCTGATATATTGACATCAAGTGGAGATGGAAAATTTTTTATGAGGAGAGAAGAGAGAGAAACATGTACATTATACGAGTGTCAAAAAGAACAGGTAATAAGTACGAATGTTTATAGAAAGAGAAAACGAACGAACAATTGTTTTCTGATCAAGTCATTTGTGGCATGATCACTGCGTCTTGAGAATAAGAGAAAAAGAAAGTCTGTTGTTATTGCTCTAGTGTTACATATCAAGTTATTGGAGAAGACATAACACTCAACTAACCATTCATCCATGATTCGAGTGAGTGAAAAATTATTCCGACAAAACGGTGACAATGTCGTCCTGTTGTGATTTCAACAAGTTCATTCAATTAATTAAACAACAAACACCGTTTTGATCATACCGGAATAGATGTATGATCAGCAAAAAAAAGAAAACATATCATCATTAAAATTTTAACGATTAGATGCTGTTCCGAATGTTTTAGAAAATATAGTGAAATAGTTGATTGTGAACACTCGTTTTTTCTTTCTAATCTGAATGATTCAAGTTAATTATGTATCCCGTTTCCAAAGAGAAAGTTGAATAAAACTTCATAAAATCAGCATCTTACTACCTTCAGAAAAACTTTTCGCAGAGATAGCTTTCTGGATCCTGAAACGTATACTTTTTAGTGTTCTCCGGCTCATGTATAAGAAGTGTAAAAGAAAACTTCAACTATCCTGCAAATAACTAGGATTTTGTATGGAATACAGGCGAATTTTAAAAGAGTGCATATAGTTATCAGTCGACAATTTTTTAAGCTAGTAAGTCTTAAGTATTTATTGTTCTGTTTAAAAGTTCCTAGCTAATTTCAAAGTAAAATGTGTGCTTGATTTTACGTCAAATCGAAACAAATTTATTCTTCAAATAAAATCGGTTCATAGAACGCCCTTAAATTTAAATATTTAAGAAATCGTCTTACCGTTCACGTAATTATTACATGTGAAACTCTTAACTATTAACTAAACTTCTCTACTTCTTTAAGCTACGATCTTCATTAAAATATTTTTCAACGTCCATATTACTTATGGACACCTTATACATCTTTCTATACTGAAATTTAATTATATCATGTTATCGAATCGGAGTGAAATATAGTGCAATCAAGGCTGAGAATCCACTAGAACAGAAAACTTTGTTGATTGATAATTTTACGCCTCTCTATAGATATTGCATATTTTCTATTTAAAATCAGGGTGATTCTTTTGAAAGTGTACTAGAGTTTACATCGACTTGATCCCAACAGTTCGAAAGTAATAGGATTCGTACAACTCGAGCTCCTGATGACGAATATCATGTTTGAAATATGAAGATCCCATTTCCCAGCAGAACGGACCTTTTCTGGGCATTTTCATCATTTTTTAGCGAAACCCATTCATGAGCTGGTACCATTAGATAAGAATCTATGTATGCAGCGCTGCAAAATTCCCAATGGACAAAAAGTTCCACAATGCTAAGCATCTTCTCAGGAGAATTTTAAAAAAAGTCGTTTTTTACGAAAAGTAGGCCTTCGTTGTAAATCATATTTTCCCAAAAAAATTGCATTCGGCGCATCTTTTCAAGCTCTATCCGATGAAATGGTGCTTATTGAGATTAAAAACCATCTAATGATAGAAAAAAACAACTTTGAAAGGAGATTTTCTCCGTTTTTCAAAGTTTGAGTACGTGCTGCACCATACGGGATTGCAGGACGTGGGATGACATATATTTCGCATGCACTCGATGTGAGCTATTAGAAAAAACTTTTTGCCTTTGGTCAAGCACTTTAAAGCAGATGAAAATCCTGTGGTATTTTTGCTGAAAAAACACTTTTTCTGAATGCGCTAGGGCAAAGGCAAATAGAAAATATGTAATACTTATAAAGAGAGTCGTAAAGTTATCAATCAACAAACTTTTTCTATTGCAGTGGATTCTCAGCCTTGATTACACTATATTTCACTCCGATTTCTTCGATAACATTTGTTCATTAAATGTATAGATGGCGCTTGGTGCAGTTTACAGATATCTTCTGTACATTTTTTCTATTGAATGCCACACTTTTTGCAGCGTTACGTTTACTGTCCGTTTGATGCTAATATTGGATCTTAACATATTACAAAATATTACAAAACGTATATACCTTTTTATTTTCATTCAACAATTTTCCTACCAATCAAGTTTCAAAACCTGATCATCAGCTGGTCGTTTCTTTTCTATTGAATATGACGGATTTTTTTCTAGCAAGTTTCAATCAGGCCGCTTCATAAATGACAAAACTTTGAGTCGCATAAATTCTAAGAGAAAGAAAGTTTTTCAACAGCGAAATCTAACAGTTTTCAGCTATTCTGAAATTTATGACAAATCGGTAACTTCATAGTTAATGGATCAGAGTTATCTTTTCATTTTTCTAAAAATTCAGTTACTACAAATAAAAAAATGTTTTTATTCTTGTTTGATGTAATAATTCAATAAAATATGAAAATAGCTTTGCATTTTTAGTCAAAATAGAATTTAGTTATATTCCTTTGATATATTGAATTTTTAAAGTGATAAATTTAGCAAATTTAAATATCGAAAATAATACTGACATGAATCGCAGTCGGTGAGACATGGTTTTTGTTGATGTACTGTCATGCGCCGTAATAATCTCTGTTGAGATAATGAAAATGGCGACTATCGATGCAACGTTATTGAATAGTGGTTTTAATGAGGAATTTAAATATTCGTCATATAAAGGATGAACTGACCAGTGGAATCAGTGTTTTTAATAGGAATTTTAAGCAAAGTGGGTTTCCACAGTTTACCACTGCATTTTCCATGTTTTTCCTGCTAAAAACAAAGTGGAAATCGAATTTTCAAAGTGGAAACCCATTTTGTTCAAGCGAGACCCACTAATCATTAAAAACACTGAGTGGAATCAAGATTACAGGGTAAATGGAGATTATGGAAAATAGTCCAAGACATTTATCATATGGGAAATAGATAGTACAATGAATTAGTAAAGCTAAATATGAAATTTTGTTGATATTGATACAACAAACTCTTGAAAGCAAAGAAATATTTTAATAAGTTCAATAGTATTACACTATTACCAATGAAGAATATATAGAAAAACTGTGTTTCGTCGGTGATATAGTCACAAATAAGTTGTTTGCTAAATGATAGAGTGAATAAGTATCACTCAGTCATCCAGTATCGAGATTATACTTCTGAATGGTACTGACTTATTTGACTGTTCAGTTGCTGACTGAAGTCTGACATTTCACAAATGTGTTGTTACAGATAAAGATGTCAAGAACCAATAGTGTTCACTATTGTGTTCATACGTGTTACTAATAAGGAAAAAATCGACAATTTTTCTCTGTCAGTAGTTTTATTTTACGTTTGAATTTGTTAAAACGTAGTTTTCATTATTTATACAAAAATAAGTTATAGTTTATATTTGAATAAACTTTCTACAACTTATTTTCTCTTTGTTTTCATTTTGTAATGATAGTTTCATTAAAATATTGGTAAGATACAAGCTCTATCGCTTCAATTTATTTTATCCTTCCTTAAAGTAGATTATACATAACGATAATTTTGCACTCAATATTCATTTTATGATGAATAAATCAATAAGTATACGGAAGATACCAAATGTAAGTGTATGCAGTTTAATTGTTTTAAGAAGACTGATAAAAGAATTTCGTTTTTAGCAAATTTACATGTTTTTAACACGTTCAGTTTCCAATACGACTCGCTTTCAACGAACAGACAGTATGTACCGCTGTAAGCGATGTAGCTGACTAAAAATTGGATAGTTTTTCATTTAAGTTCCTAACACACCAGTAGAAGATCCGCCAAGAGATCCTGATCAACCGAAACGTGATGGTAATGATGGCGATCAATCACCAAAAGTAGACCGAAATCAAAAACAAGAGAAAATTGACCCAAATCAATTACCAAAATCGCCAAAGAAAAATCGATAAAAAAGAAATTGGAATGATTTAATTGTTTGATGTTTTTGTCAAATTTTTTTTTTATATTCAAGCTACTTGTCTCTCACAAATTTGTATTCTTTTTTTCTTAGCCATGGTTATTTATCTGTTTAGAAACAGGTTAGAATCTACCAGTATTGCGTTGTAAACAAACATCAAAACCTAAAAAGAAATTCTGAAGTATTTGAAGGTACAATGCAGTTGCTTAGGATGCAGTAGAGCTGGAATTGCTATACTCATTAACATCACGACCAAAAAATATCTTACATTCCACTAGAAATTAAGATCTCGCTTGACTGTGATTTTGAAGAGGATACTTTGGGTTATCTGCTTATAAAGAAAAACAAAAGTATTCATACTCGACGCTTCAAAGATCTCCTCGAAAACCTACTGTAGAAAAATATTTTCGAATTAATATCAGTTATTAAAATGTGTCCCAAAAGGCTCTTCTTTGGAATGGAGAAAACCCATTTCAGCTCAAGAAATCAGATAACAGAACTCGATGTCATCTAGTCAGAGCTACAGTTTGATAACTACTGTTATCCTTTTGAAAACAGAAAATTATGGAATAATTTTTGAACGATAAAAGCTGCATACTTATGATTTTCACTGTCTGACCTGGTAGAAAAGTGGGCGAACACATCGTATCAAAAAAGAGTAATAAAGCTCGATAATTATTACCTAGCGACTGCATAGAGAAAATTAAAACATGTTAATTATTTTGAGAGGAACCTTTGAAGACTGGTACCCAATGATCCGCAGTAGTCTTGAATGTACGAACTTAGATGTACACTATTTAGGCTATTCTGTAACTAGTTGTTAACAATCTTCTAGTTTTTTCAAACGAGTTTCTAGGTCCACTACACAAACTTAATCATATCCTGAAGTTGTTACACCGTTATAACGCATGTTAAATGTCAAAAGTTTCAATTGTTAACGTCTTAGTATCCTGGATCCAATCCTGTTTCGAACAACTAGAACGCAAATTTTTTTCATATTCCGTTTAGACGACTAGAATTTCTAGAAACGTTTTTTCAAATTTTTTCGAGACTTAAATATACAGGTTTTTAGAATTTAAAAGGGTTAGATTTTCCTCATACTTTCCTAATTTATAGAGAATACTTCGAAGTATATGTTTTAAAGTTTTTTCGGCTTTCTGACATTAGCTGGCTGAGAAAAAAATTAATTACTTGGAAAGTTTTCTTAAAGTTTCCAGTTCCGGGTTAATTTTAAAAAGATTCTTGCTTGTTCTTCATTCATAATGAACACATGGTCCTTGCGTAGATCAAAAGAGAAATGTGTAAAGATGATTCAGTATGTAAAAGATTTAAAACTGTCTCTTCTTCTTGTTTTGAACAAGAAAATTCAAGCAATACTTCATCTGATGGAAAATTTCCCGAACTACAAGATAGCCTATCTTAAAAGTTTTAGAATTCAATAAGAAACTATAAAAAAGGGGATGAGCTGTTAGTTTTATTGCACGATTGTATCTGATGGGATCGTATCATTATAATGTAGTGCTATAGATTGTTGTTCGCTCAAGTTTTAGCGAAAACTAGAGTTTCCACTGAGCAATGGGTCTGTTGAGAATCACAGAATATATGGATTTTGTTTCTTATACATGTTTGTTTTTTATATCAAGCCTGAAAAGAAGAAAAGAATTGCATAAAGAATTGAATCATATACATAAAATGGCACAGGAAAATGGGTATCCGACAGCCTTTGTTAATTCCATAATCGGTAGTCAGTTAAATAAAATGTATAATCGAAATAAATTCCCACCGATTCAACAAAAAACTGATCAATTTTTAAATATCAACAAAAAGTTTTATTATGTAGAAATACCTTATATCGGAAAACCTAGTAACGTCTTTGCAAGGTAACTAAAAACTATCATTAATAACAATAAACCTCAATCAGAAGTACGTGTCATATACAAAACATCTGAAACTATTAAATGCTACTTCCCAATAAAGGATAAATTAAACACTGAACAATTATCTGGAGTTGTTTATGATATTAAATGTAATGACTGTCATGGAGAGTATCTTGGTAAAACTATTAGGCAAATGAATCGTAGAACAAACGAACATGAGAAAGACGTAGATAAAGCTATGATATACCTCACTAGTGGTTTATCTCAGAATAAAAATAAACGGCATGCAAAAAAGCAAATAATTAAACCACAAAATCAAGTTAATTTGCGATGTGGTAATCGTGTTGCTAAGAGGAACGTGTCATCAGTTGTTTCAATACAGTTACCACCAGTACAAGAAGAGTTTAAACCAAAATCAGCTATAGGAAAACACATAATAAAAACAGGACATTCAGTTGAGTTCAAGAATATTTCGATTATAGAACGAGGCAATAATCGTTATCGGTTGTTGGTTAAGAGTCACTGCATGAGTGAGACACCGGAAGTTGCTCAATCGATGTTTGAGTTTTTGATTCAGGATTTTACTGTAGATAGAGGCAACATATATAGAAAGATTCTCAAAATTTTTTCGTTCGGACTTATTTCGTTAAAAAGTTACAGAGCTTTTTGTAAAAGCCCTAAAAATAGCCTAAACCGAAACTTGTATAAAAGTCAAATTTCTGATATTTATATTCTGGTCTAGGAAGTTGATTAAGAACTCGTATTTGCAGCATAAGCAGTCGAGGTCGAATACTATCTATAACCACGAGCATATGCAAAAATAAGTTTTACATATGTGTGAACATATGTGCACAAGATGGTAAAATTTTGCTAGACGAACAGTCTGGCGTAATTTTTTTAACTTAAAAACTTTCTTATTGCATTGAGTATTACTTCTATCCATTATGAAATCGATCCATACAAGTCTCTTGGTTGATGCACGGCTGAGCTCGAAAGCCGATAGAAAACGAAAAATCGCCGATTTTCCAGTCAAGTTTCTCGTCCGATAGTGTTCCAAATATTGGAACTATAATGCCGCTGTAATCTATGGACCCAATACTATTCATGCCTGAAAGCCGTTTTTTGGAGGATTCACATATGGCTCTGGAAAGGATCTCTAAAAATCCGTTTTTTGAAGTTCACTTACGAGGGAACATATCTAACTGATCAATCGCTTTTTTCACCAAACCTAGTGGGTTATAGGCTATCAACCACGCTGATTTCGGATATCCATATCAGACCGACCGCTATGCCTCCTTAGAGCGGTTTTCTAGAAAACTGGTTTTCCGGAAACCTCGAAAAATCTCCGAAACTTTCCCTTTAAGTCGCGGTTGTAGCCCATGAAATTATGATCAAAATAAGACCTCTCCGACCTATACGCGACCTTTCTTAAGTACTAGAATTCTACCCATATTGGTAGAACTCAAGGGAAAACAAGAAAGTTACGACCTTAGGGCCTTCCGTAAATTGAATGCTGTTTCACGAAAAAACGTCGCAAAGAGCTCGAAGACGTCTTTTTTTCTTCAAATGTTTTCTCTACACAATGGAGCTATTTGCACAGCATTTCTAGATTGAACTCGAGGACTTGGTTTTCTGAGATCTTGGTTTGCCAGAGATCCTGGTTTCATGAGCTTTGATAGAACCTCTGTATACAGCACATCAGATCGGAAATTCTTTCAGCTGTTCGAATCCTTCTTCAAATTTGTTCTAACTATTATGCTCGCCGAGAAAAATGAAAAATAAATAATGCTTTAAAGTTAGATTTAAGATAACTGTATCATTGTTTCAATATCAATTGATTGAGATGAATTTTTTTTCATAAATATTTCACCGGCTGTATGAAACAATAGCAAAAGAGAAAAATAATATATATATATATACAGATGATCTGAACGCAAATTTATGTACATACTGTTGTTAATACACAATTATTTATAACATTGATTGCATGCAATAAATTTGCTCGTAATAAAAACATTTCATGCTGCAAATGCTAAGACTTATTGTATAATCGCCTATTACGAAGTCGATAACTTTCACAAAATTCTATATAAATAAAAAAAAATAAAATTTTTTCATTCTATTTTCAATCATCGTTATATATTTATCTCACCGACAAAAATTAATTGATCTACAACATATTTAGCTTGTTTAACTTGTAAAACAAATTCAAAACATTTTTGATATATTTCCACTTGTTTTTGATTAATAATAATATGTAAACCGTCTGGTAATATACAGCGTAATTGAATATTTTGTATAAGATATTTACTTCAACTTAATACTGTTTTATCCTGTATACTTTGATATGATACACTAATTGGATAACGTGTTTTTTCAATTTTAAACATATTTAACCATCAAATGATACTAAAACAGTTAATTGATCTAATGGCGTGTGACCATCAAGTGTGAGTCAGTCGTTGGTGACCTCGTCGTCGCCAGAGGAGCATTTCTGTGACGAAAGTGAAGTGTCATCTGGTGCCATGGAGTATCTACGAAACACATGGATAGTCTGCTGATTGGCATTCTTCGCTAGTTGCATCATGAGTCAGTTGTTGGTGACATCGTCGTCGTCAGATGAGCGTCGACTGACTCAATGATCACGCAGCTAGTGAAGAATACCAATCAGCAGACTATTCATCTAGACTATCGTAGATGCTCCATGGCAGTAGACGACGCTTCACTTTCGTCACAGAAATACTCATCTGACGACGACAAGGTCACCAACGACTAACTCAATCATGATGCAGACAGTGAAGAATGCCAACGATTATACTATTCATCTATCTCCTCGATGTTCTAGAGCACCAGATGACATTTCACGTCCGTCACATCAATGATTATTTGACGACGACGAGGTCACCAACGACTGACTGAATCATAATGCTGCTAGTGAAGAATGCCAATCATTTCTTTCTCGTTCTTTTACGTCACATATATCGCAATGTTTGCACACGTATATCTTGTGCTAGAAGAGATATCTCCAATTTTGCTAGATGCCTATTGAGTGAAAAGATGTTATCTCTCTCAAACAGATTCAGGAGCCTCCAAATAAGGAGATTAAAAGGGAAAATTTGAGCGCTAATCTTGAAACTAAAGCAGTCATTTAATGCTTCCACTTGTTGTATAGGGCGGCATGCCTCATTAAGAACTTTGAAAATAACTCAGATCCGGATTCTGACTTAATACGACATGGTTCTGGTGGGATTGCGCCAGATTTCATCATATTCCGGCATGTTCCAACGTCGGACCCTGTCGGATCTTTCAGAAACTTGTCTTCGGAATCACCAGCCTGGGTACTATCTAAACCACGGACAAGATGCCTTAGTCGAAACGTTTTGTTTTCTGTTCCAGATATATTTCGTTTCACTTTTGCTATGTACTAAACTGTAAAAACAAGTGTCAGTTTTACTAATGAATAGCATGTAAACATAATCAGAGTTAGTCTTGAAGAGCTGAACAAGTGTTTCTTCAATTACAGAATATTCTGCTACTTGTCCCGTGTCTTTTCTAGATTCATTGACGTTTCTAGGACCCATCAGTTCCAAACAGTCTAATAAATGGTAAGTCAGGCGGTAAAAGATCAACTACGAGCTCAATGGTATTTGAAATCAAATTCTGATCCATGGTCAACAAATGGGAATGAAGCATTTGGACAAAATATGCTGATATCGAATCAGCGATTATCGAAGAAGCATTTAATCGAAAGAATAAAACAAAACTAGCTGAACTGGATAATTATTCGATTAACTTAAACGATTGCATTCAAATCAGTAAATCGGATCCAAATAGACAACGGCAAATAAAACGGGTTCTAAGTACTAGAAATGATAGTCAAGGTTTAACAGAAGAAAGATTCTTTCTCACACCAGCATTGAGTAAAATGTTCAGTGATGACTGGGGCAAAGAAGCTTATATTTTTCTTTCACAGTGGAAGAAAGACAAGGAACTTTCTGATGTTGAAATAGTAGAGCAGGCAGCAAATGGAATAATTATCGAAGGAAAGCAACTAGGTCCACATTGTAACTCACAATATCTCGCTCGCCAATTAATAGCCGTGAAAAACAAAACGAGAGAAGAAGTTTACAAGTGTTGCATTCACCTCTACACAATGGAATACTTTCTATATAAACTAATAAATAAAGCACTGAGAGAAACCGACGCGAGTAAAATAAACACTTTGGGACCATTTTGCTACATTCTATTCAGAAGCTTGCTAAAAACTGCTACAAAACACGCAGGGGAACTGTATCGAGGTGCAGAAATCGATCAGAACACGCTGACATCGTATGTGGAAGCCACCGGACGGTACAGATGCTGGAATGGCTTTTTTTCAACTAGCAAAAAGCGGAAAACTTCGGCAATACCTTATTCATTATCGACGCGACAGAAAATGACGGCTTAGACATATCGCAACTTTCCCATTACGACGAAAAAGAAGTCATACTTCCCCCAGCAACATCATTTACAATCACAGAAGTCAAGCAAACCACACCCAAAACCTATGTTTATTTGAGACTAATGGGTACCACCCGTACAACATCCACGCCACATTCCCCATCCCAGATGATAACCTAAGCATAGGTTGAAAGTCTTGCATCTGATTTTGTTTTATATTGATTCTGTTAGAATTTATAAAATAAAGTGAAATAAAAATGTTTACAGTAGTTCTTTACTTCATCTTATCTTAACAAAATCTGCATCATCATCTTTTTGAATGCGTAGAGACAAATGTGAAACCTTTATTCTAGTTGTATGAGTGAATATACAGCGACGATTTTTCACACAAAGACAATCCTTGTACAGCTAACAGACAGAACCGAACAAATTTCACTTATGCAGAAAAATACTGCAAAAGTAAACTTTGACGTTCTGTCATGTATCATGTATAACGATTGAAGTTGTGCGCTATCACAACACAGTGTTGTTTATAGAAGTTGTCATATTCATTGATGATGACGAATAAGAGTTCAGATTATATATCGGTTGTAGCCATGTAACTGATGCCAAAAATATCACAGCAATTCCTATCAATTTAATACCAAAACCTACTTTTACCTGAAATAGAAAAATCAAATTATTTAACTGTCAGTTATTACATTCTTGAAAATTTTTGTTAATATATTTTTTATAACTCACCATATCAATAATACGAACATTGCCTCCAGAAAAAATCATCGCATTTGGAGGCGTTGCTATTAAAAAAAAAGATAAATAAAAAATGCTTCATTTGAAATATTCATAATTTTTACAAAAGAAATTTATACTAACCTATGGGTAACATGAAAGATAGAGAGACACTCATTGCACAAGGAAGTATAAGATAAGCGGGATGTATATTTGATATTTTCGCCTAGGAAAAAGAGAGTAGCAGTTTGAATGCAAAAATGATATTAGAATATTTACAATACTGGCTAAAATAGGAAATAGAATGCTTGCTGCCGCTAAATTGCTTGTAAATTCTGTGAAAAGTGCACTGATAATAATAACAATAAAGATAATAAGAGTTTGTGGAGCACCAGTGACAAATTGTAAAAGTTCAGCAATTGTATCAGATAATCCAGATTCCTAAATAAAAGGTACATTTATAGAAAAGATAATATAATAATTGGGTTGTTACATTACTTTAAATGCATCAGCAATAGACAGTCCAGCTCCTTGTAACATAAATACACCCCATGGGAACATTTTTGACAGAACTGACCACTGAAGAATGGGATTATATTTCCAATCAGCTAGAACAAAGGAAATTAATAAGTTTATTAGTGTGACTGTCCAAAATATTTAGACATTGTCCAAAATCTTACTTTGAAATGGATTTGAATCTGGTATTATAAGTGGCAAGAATCCAATTAACAGTGCTGCTGTTCCATCTGTTACATATCTATAATAATAAAGAAGAAATTTATTCTTTGAGTTTTTAGTAATGTACATTAAAAAAACTTACTTTTCTCTAAATAAAATATCCCATCCAGGTGTATTGGAGAAATCTTTAGTGATCCATAGTACAACTATTACGATAAATAATACAGCAATATTCGCTTCTTTCCAACTGAAAAATTACAAATTTCATAAAAAATCTTTAAATCTAGAAATGCATAAAATTACTAACTTAAGTGAACCCAATTCTTTGTATTGTTGTTTCAATACGTTTTTGAGATGAGCTTGGGCTTCGAGTACTTTTGGATCCGTTTTCCATTGTATTAGTCTATAATTGAAAAAATTTTAAAAGTAGTTAGAAATTAGTAATAAAGTTAGATTAGTACTCTTGACGATTATAAATCAATTGCAGCCAAAGCCAGCAAAATACTAACATAATAATGCCAATTGGTAGAGCATATAACAGAAAATTTGCAAATGTTATTTGAAACACAAATGGACCAGTGGTATAATAGCTGAAAAACAAGGCGTATATATGGAAATCAAATTTAAGATATGTAAATAAAAAAAATTGTATAAGTTTCTAATTACTTTCGATCAATTATTCAATTATTGTTGAGAATAATTATAGTTTTGTACATTATGAATCAAATAGAGAAAACTCACTTTTAAACAATTTAAAAGTGAGTTTTATATCCTTTTCAATATGTTCAACCCCTTCAAACGCCTCTAGTGCTTGATCGTTCTCTTAAAATTAACCATACACGCTGCAGATCAAGTTTTCCTCAATTAAATGCACCTCTTTTCACTCATGTCTTAGCACAGTCCCCGGCATGTAATTGTGGAGTTGATAAGGAAACAGAAAAACACTTTTTTTTGGAATGTATTGATTACGAAGAGGAGCGACAGGATATGTTTCAACAGATGGGCGGTATTATAAATTTCCCTATCACTTTAGATCACATACTACTCCTCCATCACTCTATACTATCAATTTTTAATTCTATTATTCAATATATTCGTTCAATCAAACGCTTTGATCGACTTGATGTCTTCTGTATTGTTTATTCTTATACAGTGCCACATGAATGAAGTTCGCTTGCTTACTCAAATTTTTCTATCTCTCTCATCATCATCTCTCATTTTGTTTCTCTCCCTTCTCTGTTTTATTAATGTTTCATTTTTGTCGAATAGATCTAGGTATACAATGATTTTATTATCGATTTGCGTGCTCTTTTTCTTTTCTTTTTTTTTGCTGTTGGCGTTAAATAAAATTTGATTAAGATTAAAAAAAAAACAAGAAAATATCCTGTCACGCAGAAAATATTTTATGTGGTAGAAGTAGATTAAAGTTTAAATTCAATTTTGCTAATCTACATAGTTGCAAAGATATTTCACCTTTTAAAACTACTACTCCCATCAATTTTCCTCAGATATGCTGATACTCCCCAGTTGAAAAGTCAGTAACACACGATGTTGATTTCTTACTACAATTCTAAAAAATTTTATCGTTAAAAAGACACTAATTTTATGCGATTTTATTTTGGGTTGAAAGATTAGAATTCTCTTAGGAATAGTGCGCTAGTCAAAGATATATATATAGAAAGTTTTACAGTCAACAGCTAAATGATTTCTTTGAAAAAAAAAACAGTGAATAGACAGTAGTTACAGGTTTGTTAGATAGCGCATTTCTCTATGAGATTAGTTTTGGCTATATTTCAGTAATATTTTAGATTAACAAACTCAAATTTGACTGATAACCAGTAACCTTTTATAAAGAATTTATGGAGAGAATCAAAAAATATATTTGTACTCAACTTTATAGTACTATAATTTCTAAAAAATTTTAATTTGTACGACTAACAATACAATGCTATTATGTTCAACTTACTCGTCAACAAATCCTTTAACGAAAATATTTGGTCCCGTTCCAACGAGTGTCGCAAGACCTCCAACAGCAGCACTGTATGCAACCGCAATCAAAAATCCTAAATTGCGTTTATGTAATTGAATTAATTCTGACAATTGTTTATTTTCCTACCAGTTTTTAACCGTTCATAGTCGACTTCATTGGATTTTTGATCTTTATCATTAGATAACTTTTTCGATAAGGATTGTTTTGCTAACGGCCGATAAATGTAATACGCTTCATTTAATAAGAATTTCTGAACGCTGAAATTCTACTTACTGATGCTGTTGAATGGGTATGGTACCATGAGAATTAGTCATCGTGGCTATTTCATGTACCTCTGTTATTGTCGGTATGTCAAATAAGACTAATGGTATGTGAGAAAATAATAATCGATCTGTTTTGTTCGTATCTACTAGAAAAAATTATTAATTTCCATTAAACTGAGGAAAAGAAAATATCTCATTAAATTTAATGTTTTCCATACTTTCTACGTGTTGTGGCATGATTTCTGTATTATTGTTCAATTCTTTATCTTTTGCATAATTTTCTTGATGAGTTTGCAATTCATTAATAATTGCAATTGCAGCGGGAATCATTACACTTGTGGCTGCTGAGTTATTTATCCACATTGATAAAAATGCGGTTACACACATTAAACCAGCCATTGTCCTATAGTAAATTCAAAATAACCAAGAAAAATCACAAAATTCCTTTAACAAATTTTTTGTACCATTTTGTTGATGATCCGACAACACTCAAGACGAGTAGTGCGACTCGTTTGTGAAGAGAAACATGTTCCATAGCGTAGGCTAATGTCATGCTCCCAACAAAAAGTGTCGTAATATCCTGAAAGATCAAAAAACATTTAGTTTATGAACTTTTTGAACTGTTTTATTCTATCCTACTTTAAAATAGGCTGAACCAACTCGATCTGCCTTTAAAACACCGGCCATTGGAAAAAATGCCAAAGGTAAAAGTGACGTGACTGCATAGGGCATGGCTTCTGATACCCAGTAGATCGTTAATAATAAAATTATGTAACCACATCTTGCTCTCTAAAAGTAGATTTGATTGTCATGTAAATTAAAGACGAAAATGTAAGAATCTGTTAGATCTTTCAGAAAAAAGAGAACCGTATAGTTCAAGTAAATAAATGTATGGTGATAAAAAACGATTTTTCGTTAAGCATAATTAGTAAATAGAATTTTTCTTTAAACTTTTTGTGATTATTTGTAGACTATGCGAAAGTTAATCTATGAGATACTTACAATAGAGTTACCTAGGAGTGGAATTGGTAACAGAATTAATGGAGTAAGAATAATAATTAACAATCTCCATCGACGTTTAATCCAAGATAGTGGAGATGCCATTACCATGTGAGAAAAAAGTTATTTTCTATTTGATATATAAACGATTAACATGACATAAATGGCTTTTATAGTTTTTTACTTTTAGTTCAAACATAGCCACGCCTTAGAAAAGCCTCTATTTACTATCTGGGAGTTGTTATACACTTTATTTGATAGCTATATAGATATCAAATGCATAAAGAAAACGTAGCTGTTTTTTTTTAAGTCCATCAATAATGAATGAGTCACAAATGACAATAAAAATTTTGTTGTAAACTACTTTATGCTATATTCAGGTTCATCTCTGTAACTACTGTCACGAAAAATCTTTGAATTCGTTGAAATAAGACTAGTTTATCGTTAGTTTATGATAAATCTGAATGTTTTTCAAAATGAGTATACCTCGCTTAAATACGTTATTAATATTAAATCTTCTTTCACCTATATTTAGTTTTATTTTATTTTTGTTGTTTTTCTTATGGAAAAGAGTAACACCTTGTAAATAACTCCTTGAACTATGTAATGGCAATTTGCCGCTTTAGTTCGAGGGTTATTAG